ACTGATGGCACTTGGCAAAGGATAATGCTCTCTCGCACAGTAGAGTCGACACGGCTACATCATTACATACCAACACACCTTACTCTTCCTCCTGTATACGTACTGAGAATCGGACCCTACTCATGAATCAAACACTTTCGTCCGATAAACTTCATCCAAGAGTTTCACTATGTGTAATTTATTTTCAATTAGTTAAATGGACTAATCGATAATTAACTACTATTTTTGTAGATTCGTATTGTTCCCGTTGTGAGTGGATAAATCCTCACTTCTATAGAATAGGCCTGTTTTCTGAACAAGTTTAGCGCACGTCCCCACCTGTATTTCGACTTAGCCTTGGATTACAGCTTGGCCTTCGATAACCGTTCGGGTTTCTGGTTTTCCCGTCGGGTTTCCCTTCAGTTCTTTTTTTTTGGAATTTGCAGTTTAGATTCTCACTTGCGTTACGGTCATCATCTGGATATCAACTTTAACCTTCCATTTAGGGCGAGCGCTGATACTCTTAGGTTTTTATGCATCTCGCTTAGATTTGATGCAGTGCCCCGTTGTGAGTGCTCTCCAAAAGGCATCAGTAGTCGTCCGCTAAGTTGATCAATTTCACATAGCTATTGCACACAGTGTACGCGTGCACAGAGTCACCTCTGACTTGCTTTGTGCTGTTGTGTTGCAGCACAGTATTGAAGCCTACCTACCTGTTCACGACAATATCACCTGTAAATAGATATTCAAGTTCACCTCATCCCTCGGGAGAATCTCACAGAAAGCGACTGTTAATTAACAATAAAACAAAATGTTCTGAAAGCTACCATCATCATCATACAAAGCATTCATCATCGACGCTTCGACGATGATGAATTCTTTTCACTTTCCAGTTCATCCTCAGCAGAGATCGCTCGTAGAACCTATAACAGACAAATACTGATTTAGGGCGCGCGCTTTTTGAAGCAGGATGAATGTCCTACGACAGAAAACACTGCCGAAAGTGAAGTGGTGACAGACTTAGATGCCAGTTGAAAAGTGATGATCAGCAGTTTCTCCCCAGCAATTGCCCATTGTGTGCATGGGGCTGCGTTGAAGCATTCAAAATTTAGACAATTTGCAAAGTCCCTATTTCAATGTCGAACATGAATCAATTGAATTCTCTAATGATTTTGAGTTTATTGATATCTTTGTGGTCGGTATAGAGAAAAATGAGCAACTATAAAATTACACTTGCAAAAACGCATTCTCTTGTTTCACGAGTTTCACGACTAGCCGTTTTACGTGAAGTGGCGTCGTAATACTCTGTGAAAAACGCGATATTCGCGGTGATATGCAGTAGTCATGAAATATGTTTTTTACTAGTGTTTTTCATATCACTAGGGTGGTGAAACTCCATTGATTCAAATTCCGTATACCGCTGTAAAGCTCTGCAAACTTCTGATTAAGCCAGGCAAGCCATTTACTCGACTATTCGAAAGCAGAATGGTTTAAAAAGTTTTACGAAAATTTTTCGCATCACACTATAAAAAAATTACAAAATTTCCGATGTAAATCTCACCGCGCGCTTTGAAGATTCTTGCAACTCTCCCGCGATCAAAAGTTCGTCCAGAATATATTGCCTGATAAAAAAATATCCTCCCAAAATCATTAATTTGATTTTCTTACGCTTTATGGAAGTTGAAAATAACATCAAGTTCACACACGTTTCCAAAATATCTGTCGAGCGTTTCCACGTAGAGGTGGATAGTCTCAAGCGCGATGAGCTCATTGTCATCTCGATCGATTGAGCAGACGAAGTATAATGAAGCGTATCTTGAGGTTGAGAGATAAAGATTCAAAATAGGTCCATTGACAGCCTCCCTAGTGATGATACAAAAATGATATGCGGCGTCATTAAAGATACTTTATTCTTTCAACGAAGTGATTAAATTAGGTTTAACGCAATCGGCGTGGGAATATACGCACATAGCCAACTACATGATCTATAGAAATTTTGAGGAATTTTTGGGAATTTCTTGCTGATCTCTATATTTCACTTCTACCCGAATTCTATACTTAGCTTTGGAAACTTCTGAGCTCAGTTTAGGAAAGCGAACATATATTCCCACACTGCGGCTAAGATGGAAACATACTTGACACTTCGCAGAGTTAAGAAGTTGAAGTTATTAAAGTTGACTTTAGTATTCGGCTTTATCAAAAATGCATATCTATTATTACAATTATATATATCTTCAGTTATATCGAGAACATCATTACTATTAATGTTATTATAATATATATTTATTCTTGATTACGGTATTATTGATAACTTGATTATTGATAACGGTACCAATTCCGACCAAGCAAAGTGTTGTAGTGGCCTCTCAATTATGGCAGAAGCTGTATTGTGTCCATGGATGTCCTCTCAGGGTGCATAGTGATAGAGGAGGAGAGTTTATAGGATCTGCTTTCCAGAATCTCTGTCGGTTATATAATGTGTCTACGAGTCTTAGTACGTGCAGGCGGGGAACGGTCAAAGGGGAACGGTCAAAATGAAAGGTCTCATCAATTCTTACTGAATGAAGTGGCTATATGGTTGGAAGAAACTGGTGGGCAGTGGGAAGCACATCTTCCTGCAGCTACTTTTGCCCATAATATAAGAGCATTTCCATTTTAGTCTTATCAGCCACATCGCCAGTGAGAAGGATCACCCTATATGGTTTTTGCAGATATTGTGTCATTAGTAACCCACTTTAACTCGTTGAACTCTTGATAAACATCTTGAAGATATCGCCGTACTTCACAGAGCTTATCATCACGCTCTTGAGAAGTTCGACCAAAGCAACCCACATCATCCATCCAGGTATTCTTCAATAAATCCTTATTTGATGATGTGGCTTCGGCTAGTGATAACTGTAATAAATGTGGGCTACACCGTAGACCCATAGGTAACCTCTGAAATACATAATAGGACCCTCGCCAATAATACCCCAAATATGGAGTATCATTAGGGGATATACATACTTGTAAAAACGCCTCAGATAGATCCCCAAACAAGAAGTATTTATTACTCCTCCAGCGCAGCAACACATGTAGTAAATCAGAATGTAGCCAATCACCTGCCATCAAGAAGTGATTTAGTTCTGAGGCCTTAGCGTCCCATACAGGACGAATTTTTGATGATGTCGCACCAGGCTTGAAGACACATTGATGAGGGATAAGATGTTTAAGTTCAGAAAGCTCGGTTTTCCGGACATACCCTTTCTTCTCATAGAGGTCGAGCTTCTCATCATAGGCTTCCAATATAGCCCCTGCTCTCGAAGATGGCATTCCAGTCGGCGTGCTCGAGATACAGCCTGAGCCTGATTCAGTGTTGGCCTGGCTTCAGACTTCCATAACAGTCTCACCTCTGACCTTTGGGGCGAACGTACAAGAGCAGACTGATTACCATCATCCACAAACAATTGGAGAGGAACAACTCCTTGTAAAATCGGATGACGGATATGCAAGGCTTTCGGACCTGCAGTACCATACTCAATCAGAGCATCAAGTCGACTAAGAGTATCATTTCCCAGAAGCAGATCAATATCATTTGGTAACGTCGTATTAAGACAGCGAGCTCTGAGTTTAGCCAAAGGAGCTTCAGTAGACACCACTCCTTTTATACAGCTAAATCTCACCGGGAATTGCACCAATCTAGTAGCATAAAACGGCGAATTACCAAGACCTGTGAATACCTCAGGCTTAGCAAACTTCTCCACCGTCTCAATCTTGACAGCACCAGAGGCCCCAACATTTTGGAGAGTGCGCTCAGTAATGAGGCTTCGAGAAGCTCCAGTATCAACGCACACCCTTATCTCAGTATCACCAACTGAGAGACTGAAGCATGGTAGATGCCCACCACTCAAGAGAGCAGGTATAGTAGGAAAGCTAACTGAACCACTATCATGGGACTCAATCGGCTCACCAGAGGAATTATTGCCTTCCTCTATAGGATCATTCACCAATTCATCTTTAGCGACACATTCACTATCACCCACTGCAACAGGCAAAACCGGCACCTGTTGACCGGTAGTCTTATCTTGGCGTTGTAGAGGACAGTCTCGTTTTAGATGACCCACCTTTTGGCAACGATAACATCTTATAGGTGCTCGTCCACCTTTAGTAGCATAATGGGCATTCGAGCTACTGGAGTTATTTTCAGTGGTTACAGAACGGCCTGAAGCATCATGAACAAATTTACACTTAGACCCATATCTACAGGAACCCTTCAAATAGTGGCGACACACTTTCTTACTACTTGTAAAAGATGAAGCTGTAGAAACCAAACCGGTCTGAGATTGTTCTTTATTTTCAGAACCATACGTTTGTTCACAGAACCGTTTAACCAAAATACCAACTTCCTCCAATGCCATAAGCTCCACTTCCTTCGGCTGAAGACTGATAAATCGCCGGACATCAATAGGAAGGGCATTCATAAAGTCAATTATCTTCTGAATTTCATCAAACGAAATCTTGAGAGACTCAAGTTCCGAGCTATACAACTCCCAGTTAGCTAGAAAGATCTTCACATCACTCACTGTAGCTTGAGGCTTCAACTTCAACGATCGATACTTCTTGAAAGCCAAAACTTTACGTTGCTGGTCAGTCAGACCATAGGCCTTATACAAAAACTTCTCCAAACCAGCATAAGTAGGCTTCACAGACTTCACGTAAACATCAGCTACTGATTTTGCTGAGCCTACCATACTTTGCCGGAACATGCTGATGATTTCAAGTTAATTTATGAAACAGCATCTTCTCAATCTAATCAAGAGACTGGTCGCCTACAGGAGGGTGATGAAGATGACGACAATAATGATGAGGTCTCTACGGCTGATGCTCCTGTCTCTGTTAGTGATGATCATTGTGGTGAAGATCATCACATAGACATTGAGCGTTATATTCATCAGCTTTTATTGAATCATAAGGGACCAATGAGTACTGATGTTGTACGTTCTTCCCTTCTTCAGCGGTTTGGCCCCACTAGAGATATTTTCCGTAAAGTGGGTGGATTCCGTGCATTTGTAGAGCGATCTGCAAATATTGGTTTTGATTCTTATGGTTCTTTGCAAACGAAGATTCTTATGTTCCATATTCCGTTTGCGGGCGAGAAGATGTGACAGTCTGAGTTGTGCGTGGTTGATATCATTAGCGTTTTGTGTAATGTGTCTACTGCTAGGCTAAGACTTCAGGCTTTATTCCTTTAATTACTCGTATGAAAATAAGGTTATTAACGTAACAATATTAGTTGCGTTAACTATCAACTGGGCAACCTGTTACAGATAGGCTAACAACCTACGCCCATCAGCAACACTGCGGGCATCACAACATATACATCCACTACCTGCAGCGTCGCAAAAGATAACCAGCCCTTCTCGCAAGTCGCAGAATCGGGGTTGATGTGGAAGAGATGAAGGAAGAAAACTCTGAACTGCCTGAGCTAGTTCGGTCGAAACATCTGTAGAATCCCACGAGTGCGTACTACCAGATATGAGACTGAGTAGTAGTCGTTGTCTCGATACCACTTCTATATATAGACCTAATGGATCGTACAACTTGGACAGTTGCTTAAACGACAGACGGCGTGTAGTCAGCGGAGATTGACCAACCTTAGGTATTTGTATAGTGATAGAATCCTCATCAATACACCATACATACCCGAGTTGTACCAAACTAGATGATTGACCGGGAACCCTGTAATCATTTGGATTGTCAGGTCGTTCCATGAAAGTCGGATCAGATAGCTCGATGCTTTTGGCTGGCTGACAGTGCATATTAGCCTGGGAGAGCAACAACTGACCACCACGATCACGTCGACTGATGAGAACTGACTTGAGCCAAGCAGTATAGAGTAGGTCATCCATATACGGATAATAAGCCTCGACCGAAGATCCATAATCCTTGATCAAAATGGATCGAATATCCTGCAAGGCAATACATAGACATGCCGGGGAGCATGTCAAGCCGAACGGAAGTCTCAGACATCGCCAATCCCGATTATTACTCCTGAAAATGAGACTAACAGTATCAGGAATATGTAGTAGTAGTTGAGGGAATGCTCTAACCACGTCTTCGAAAGCTACGAAGGGGGCCATTCTACTCCGCGGTAGGATAACTTTAAGAGCCTTACGTAGCATACTAACATCGCCAGAGTCGAGCCGAGCATTAATACCACGAGCATCGATAGTAATACGAACAGGTTGGGTCTTATGACCTGGACGTAGTGCCAAGACGGTGCTTGCCACAGGAAAATCCTCCCGTACTTCAGCCGGAGTTAACGGCCGTATGTATCCCTTAGCCTCCATATCTTGCAACTCCTTCTCAAAATCATCATACCACGAACCACCCATCTCACGGAGTCTCTGACACGTAGCCACGTCTCTCGCTATTGCAGCTCGTCGACCGAGTCCAGGATCCGTAGAAGATGGTCTCTCTGAGGAAAGCCAGGGCAAAGATACTCGCGCCCGATTACACCCACCGGCGTCCAACACATAATCCAACTTAATCTCAGCCCTCTCTTCCTCACCATCTAATTCACCACTCAGTTGATGCTGACCAAAAGGAAGTTTTGACGAGTCAAGCATCGGTGAAGGCACAGTAACATTATCACTGTCAGCAAGAGTGAGGAAGACAGGCAATCTCGATGGAATAGATGACTCAGAACATAACCTTAATACATTGGCAGACCCCAATTGAAGTAACTCACTCCCGTCAGCGCACATGAACCATGACAAGGATCCGACATCCCGTGCAAATTTATGAAGGCTCAATACTCCTGGAATACTCAACCCATCAACAATCAGTACTGTTGTTGTATAACAATCGCTACCAATACGAAGAGTAACTCGACGAGCACAATCGACCTTTTGCTGTTGACCATTAGCAAATAGAAGTGTTACTGGATGATCAAGATGGACACGAGGAGCATCCGAAAGGAGATTACCCACTGTAGCAGAACCCAAATGCTCGACAGCACCACTATCCAGTAACCATCGGAGTGAATGTGATGATCCATCTGGCAGTTGTACAGCTGCTAAAATATCCGTCAACATACCAGTGGACTGTCGACTAAGATTAGCCGTTCTAGCGAGCTGATCAAGATGGATCTCAGCACCTTTCTCCGACTCATCATTTTTCATGAAATGACTTTCCGATGATGATGGTACCGCATTCACCTGTTTAGGTGGATCATCAATTAAACATACACTAGTAGGTAAAATCGTAGGAGTTTGAGATTCCTCAGCGTTTGGAGATACCACGTCTTGTAGCAAACTGGTATCCACTGGCATCGTAGGCATAGTAGGGGAAGTAGATACTCCAGAAGAAGTTGATGGTACCGATGCATCCTGAGCAGCAACACCACTGTTTTGGCCCGAATCCACACGTCTCCTCTTAGCAGCAGGGACATCACGACGAACTCGCAATGTTCGATTACGGCTGATTACGACCAGGACGATTACGGTCACGAAATAAGCGAACAGACACAGGATATACCCCAGAAAGCTTCAGAATACTCCTGAGTGCATCCAGGACCTGCTTCTCACTAGCATCATAACTCAGGTTGCTTATGAACAACCGACAATTAGTTTGAGCAGCAGCCTCACTAGTATTCATAGCCGAATCAACAGGCATCGTAACCACTGGGTCGCTAGCCATAACATCAACAGCAGCTTGGCGAGATAATCGTCCGGCTCTAGCAGCACGTCGGACCAGTACAGCATTATGACGCCTACCATATTCAATCAGTTGCTCTAGTGATGGTGCATTACCATAACGATGCAAAATATCTTCACAAACATCATCAGGGAAGCTACCAAAGAGTCGATCAGACACGTCGTCTGTAGTCAACGGCACATGCCGCTGTGAATCAACCGCCATTCGGGTGTAATCAAACCTTACACAAGAAGATACTTGTCCAATGTTTATATCCATCAATAGAGTAGTGTAAACCCAGCAACTTAAAGAGTACACAGATGTTTACCGACCCATGGAGAATAACCAACAATACTTATAGATAAGCCTTGCTTCTACCGTAGAAGCTCAACTCAGTCTTATACAGACTAACACAGTGCTAGGCTACGCAGCTACTACACACAGAGAGACAATATCAACGCATGATTTGTCTATACACAAAAGATGTCCCAACAGTTCTACCAACTCAGATCGAATACATCCGGCTCGCCGAACAGCTTTGCGATAACTGGAATATCCTTGTTGGAGTAAACGCCTATCAACACCATCAACAACGGTCTGTCGAATAGCATCAGACAAACACCTTTCCAAATAAATGCCTTGGAAGAAAGCAGCACTAGGACCATAACCAATGTCCCACGAAGGAGTGCGTTCACACTCATGTAGGAAAGAGAGAACCGACCGAGTATCTTTAAAACCTTTGAATAGTCCTCCAGGTGGCAATGCCGCCTTCTCAGCTCTCTTTACCGAGTTATCATAGATCTTCTGCAGTTCACTCGGAGACAACCCATTGAATAAGTCGTCAGCATCTCCAGAACCTCTTGCCTCTATGAAACCAGCCTTATCTCTTGGAGGCACAACAATCGACGACTTTTGCGGAGCTTCCTCTGCTATTGATGATAAAGTAACATCAGGACCGTCAACAACATCGGATTGAGCTTGTTGAGTAACTGTGACCACACCTGGGTCACTCTGAGCAGTACCAACTGGCCTTACAGCCGCTCTGGGTTGTCGACCATTTAATCGCCGAGAAGGAGAGAGAATGCTTCTAAGGAAAGAGAAACACGATACATTGGCAGTTCTACTAGTTGGCAGAGATGGCGACGTAACAGTGACAGGCAGATTAAAAGACATTGCTGATAATCTCTCTGCTCTGAGTATCAAAGCCATTCATGTATTTGATGTCTGGCGCCCGCCAGTCAATGACGGTGCGCGCCAGCCTGGCCTGGAGACTGCATGGACGAAACAAGACCACAGAGCACTCAGTGCTCAGCACTGCACTTGTCTTACATGTGCTGGCTTTTTGGATTTTACCAAGCTCGATTTATTCGTTTTTCCCGACACGATAATTAGTCGGAAGTAAAAGACTACAGCAGGTCCGAATTGGACCGACCAATCTGCCGTATTCGGCTCGATCTTAAACTCGGTAATCCAGCAATATACATGCTCGTCAGAGTTCAAGTCAAGATAACAAGTCCATCTTCTGGAGATGCTTGTTCCACTACTACACTCGTCACACTCATGATAACCTTT